TTTTAACAAAAAAAACGAAGTCCAGATGACATGATTCAACCTTTTTTTTGTTGTTATATACCTGGATGACTGAGAAAACAAACTTTGTGTTTTTGAAACCATTAGTGAAAAGGCCAGACTTCAGGGGTATCTGAGGCAGGCTTGAAACACAAGAGTCAGGGTGGCTTCTGGGTAATACCAGATGGCTAGGCCTCAGACTGACGAAGCCTCTTGGATGAGGGGCGAAACGTTTCTTTTTAACAAAAAACGAAGTCCAGATGACATGATTCAACCTTTTTTTTGTTTTTAATGTAATATAAAGTTTCACTTTTTGAATAGAATTACTGAAATAAATCAACTTTTTCATGATATTTTAAGTTTATGACCAGCACATATACTCTACAGCTAATACAGTATTTTATTTTCTCCATAATGTTTCATTATTGCCATCTAGAGGTTCATAAAATATCTGTACCAAAATACCTTTAATAGTTAATGAAAATGTTTTAAACAAAGACCTGGTGCAATCTGTTAATGCTCCAAATGTGTGTGTTGCGAATCAGTCCTAGCTATTAAATATTGAATAAAGTCACTGCACATCACCGTTTATTTTGTATCCTAACATTTCAAACACAGACTCAGCAACACTCATTTAAACATATCCATATATATTTTATTCTCAATACGGCAAAATACAAAGAATATTCAGGACAGACTCTCATTAGTCACAATTAATACTCACTTCACGACAATGCTTTAAATTACATAACCTAAGTTTGAAGATCAAACTCGAGGGGTACCTTAATTCATATTGCATCCATCTTATATAGCATCTCTATCATCAGTTCTCTTAAAACTAAGCCCCGTTTAGATTATTATTGAACTTAGTGTATGCTGCTGGTCTCACTTTGGAGACGCCTTATAGAAAAGGTGTTATACAACATACTGTATAAACTGCTACAACTGCTCTGATGAGAAATACCTCTGTTTGAAAAGACGCATTGGAACAATTGTTCAAAAGGGACACAGTAAATACACGTCTCTCTCTTTCTCTCTGGAAGAAGCAAGACAGGCTGTACATGCCATCCATCCATCACGTGAGAGCAACAATATACACTTAATGAAATACACAACTCCATATTAAATACAGAGAAGCCAAAATATTGGATTTAGAGACATCACTGATTATGTGGTGACCATGATACGAGACGGTGAATAAGACGACAAAGTGTTCGAGCTGATAAGAAAAAGAGAAATCAATTTGATATACAGTGTTAACAGACTGGGATGTCATCTGTAACAACTTGGGGAAAGAAGACAAAAGCCCAGAAAGGGGAAAAAATGTGCATAAAGTCTTTCACAATATATTTACAGCATTTTTTTTTCCTTAAATTTAATTAAAAAAAATGCCAACCTGTAGTAAAAATTCACTCTTTAAGACATGTTATATTTACAATTTATACACCTGTATTTAAATAGAAACATGCACATGTTAACATCTTCCTAGTGAATGTCAAAAAAAAAAAAAGAGATCTCATTTTACCCTGGATTCTTCAAGTTAGAATATTAATTACTACTTACAAAAAAATCTCATTGCGAACAACTCGGATCCATTTATACCTTCCTATTTCATAAAATGGTAATCCTCAAAAAGGCAAAACAGAATTAAAAGAATGAGCAACGGGGCAGAAAAATAAATAATAGTGAGAAGCAAACTGTTAGGAATAACTCTAATGCTATTATTTTAAATATTTGATTAGACGATAGTGTGTGGAACACAAGGCGCTGACCTCAAATTACAAAATGTACCAACGTATGAAGACAGAGACTGGGTTGGCAGAACCCACAGAGGAATTTCTATGAGAAAAGTTGCCTCCAGCTTTAAGTACAAAGAGGCTAAAAGCCATTTGTGTTTGGTAATTTAAAAAAAAATCTATATACACATATACATCAGTACATAAAATTGCAAAAGCTAAAGGCATTGGCAACTAGAGTTAAACAGGTTTTTCACCGAGGCAAAACATAAAATAAAAGACGAGGAAAGAAGTCCCAAACTTCTTGAATTTATATAAGTTTTTTTCTCACAAAAAATGATTTTTCGTTTGCTCCCCCCCCTAAAAATCCTGCATAGATTAAAATAAGATCTGCTCTGACTTTCTCTTATTCAAGTGTAAGAGAAAATAACAGTATCCCCCCATCTTGCGGTAAAGACCAGGGAGCCAGTGAAGGAAAAACAACAAGAAATAGGAGAAACAAAAACACAATAAAAGCTGGGCCAAACCATAATGTGCATTTCAGTAAAATATGAACTAGGAAAAAATAACAAAAAACAATAAATAATAATTTGTGTTGCACTTTCTTGTTCAGACATACCGTATTTTCCAGAGTATAAGTTGCATCAGACCAAAAAAAAGCATCATGAAGAGACAAAAAAAAGAAAGGAAAAAACATACAAGTCTTGAGCCAGAAAGGGTAGAGTGCCCTCTCCAGGTCGGGGAGGAGGTCCTGCCCCAAGTATTTTGGGATCTTGTTCACAAATGACGGAAAAATGGAGCGGGAGATCGATAAAACGGATAGGTGCAGCATCGGCAGTGAAGCGGGCGCTGTACCGGTCTGTCGTGGTGAAGAGAGAGCCGAGTCAAAAGGCGAAGCTCTCAATTTACCTGTCAATCTACGTTCCTACCCTCATCTATGGTCATGAGCTTTGGGTTGTGACCGAAAGAACAAGATCACGGATACAAGCGGCCGAAATGAGTTTTCTCCGCAGTGTGTCTGGGCTCTCCCTTAGAGATAGGGTGAGAAGCTCGGTCATTCGGGAGAGACTCAGAGTAGAGCCGCTGCTTCTCCACATTGTGAGGAGCCAGTTTAGGTGGCTCGGGCATCTGGTTAGGATGCCTCCTGGACACCTCCCTGGTGAGGTGTTCTGGGCGCGTCCCACGGGGAGGAGACCCAGAGGAAGACCCAGGACACGCTGGAGGGACTACGTTTCTCGGCTGGCCTAGGAACGCCTAGAGATTCCCCCGGAGGAGCTGGACCAAGTGCTGAGGAGAGGGAAGTCTGGGCCTCCCTACTTAGGCTGCTACCCCCGCGACCCAACCCCGGATAAGCGTAAGAAAATGGACGGATGGAAAAACATAAAAGTCACATTTATTTTTTTTATTTATTGGTTGAAACAGCTTCATTTCATCTGGGCGGCACGGCTCGCTCTATCCATCCATCCATCCACATCCATCCATCCATCCATCCACATCCATCCATCCACATCCATCGCGGCCGGAGCTGCTAGCTCTCCAGCATTCCTCCGCCTGCACCAGCTGAGTGAAGCAAGTGTACACAGGAGGACTCGCTGTTGCAGTTTAGAAATTTAAAGTGTCAGTCAAAAATTGAGTTATGAATAAGGAAAAAAAAAAAAAAACGTATATAAGTCGTTTCAGCGTACAAGTAGCAGGATTGACAAATCTATGCAAAAATTTGCAACTTACATGCCGTAAAATACTGTAATTCGACCTGTACATTTAGCACAAATATAATTTGGCCCAGAGTTAGTATTTCCAGCAAGTTTTGGTAGGAAGTTGGCAAAAATTAACCAAAAAGAAAAGTTTTTTTCAAATAGACAATGATGACGCTCATTCAACTGGAAGTGTTATCAACCTTTGCCTTCATTTCATCAGGAACTTGAAGTCAACAAAGCTTGAAAAGCAACGTAACTTCTGCCTGTTGTACCACTGATTGTATCAATTGTATCATTTCAGCTTTAAATTCTTAAAATCACAGTCTGAAAACTTATTCTTATAACCCCTGTTGCAATCCTACATTTTGCATCGACAGTTAAAGAAAAAACTGCTCAGTATATAAATATAATCTATATTGGTCATTATATTTTTTTTAGCTATACAGTCATAGATTTAAAACTCTGTTGTACAAATGCAACACTGCTAATCTCCATTACTGATGAGTTTCTTCTACTGAAGAAACACGTTCAGATAAATTTGCTTTAGTTGCGCCAAACGCGTGGAAACTCGGGCCCAATTTATACGAACTACAAAATAAATAACTGCACTGTCTACGTGGGCTCAATCTTCAATACTTAAGACAATCCCTGCAGTTCCTAAGAAATTTACACTCCAGACAAACAAAGGGTTTAAAACAAGGGGAATAACACTGAGGAAGTGACTCATGCTTGAGGAAATTTCTACAACAATGTAGCTACAAAAGGTAAAAACATCTGAGGTGCAGAAATATGAAGCTTTAAAAAAAAAAAAAAAAAAAGTCCCCACTGACGGGAAAAATAGTATTGGCTTCTGCCGTTTTTTTTTTTTATTGACAACAGACTTTTTTTTTTAAAGTAAAACAAGTGACCTACATTTTTATTTTTGGCAGGCTATGAATGTTCATAAAATTACAGCTAAGAAATAAATGCATAATTTATGGTAAATGTGTCAAATATTGAACAGTTGTGCACAATAGCTATTTGTGCCATTTTTTAAGTTATTTCTAGGCTTCCTTCAAATTTAATCTCTCCTTCCAGGAGACCTTAAAGAAAGCTGAAACAAGATTGTAACTTTAGCTGTAGTGGACATAATCATCTTTGTTTTAAGATACCCCCACAACTTGTATAAGCTTTGTTGCAGTCAAATGATTATATAAACAATCAAAAGTCTGGCTATAGCAATAAAAATAAAAGTTGTTCCAAATATTATTGGTGACTGTTTTCCTGTAGCTCACATACAAGGCACAAAAATGATAAAAGAGAAATGTCCATTTTAAAGCACCTTTGGTGTTCCTGGGAGGTACTTTGGTGAAACAAAGTCAAATAAAAAGTTAAAAAGCCAAAGTAGCCTTAAAATAAAAATCCCAGTTTTAGTGTACTTAGAATAAATTACGCACCCAGTGTTTTTATGCCAAGATAAAAACCAGGTCTTTAAAAATTTCATAAGAATGCCGATATATGAAGCCAGGCGATGCAAGCTCTTTTGATTCCAGTTGCAGCTTTTGATGCACGTCACTGTGTGGCGCTGCCGAATGGTGAGATGTCCTAAGTTGAGTTTTTTTGGCAAGCTGGTGCAGAAAATGAACACAGTGTTGGAGAGAAGTCTGAGAGGCTAACCACATGTAAGCATACTTGGGAGGACTAGAGGTGAACAAAAAGCTGAGGTCTGAGGGTGTGTGTGGGTTTGAGGAAGCAGCTTGCAGGGAACGTGTCCTCGCTAGGGAATTAGGTTAGCGTCCAGGCGCAGCCAGTGAAGACCCTGCCGAGTGTAACGCACCAGTTCTGTCATGCTGCTGGTGTTGAAGATCAGAGAACCCATCACTTTGTCCAACTCCAGAAAAAAATCTGAGAAAAGGACAAAACAAGGAAGTCACAAGGTAGTAATGGACGGTTACAATCGATCAACCACGTAAAATTACATTATTAAAAAATGGAAAAATAGGAAAATTGGTAAATGATGGGTTATGTAAAGGTCAAGGATGTTTTCACTTACTAATGTTAAATTAATATAGAACCATGCATGTGAAGTTGAGAGCCTTTCTGTCTACTCAGAGAGGAGGAGTCTGATAACCGATAACTTCTGACACCTTCAACAACTGTGAGCTGTGAAGCAGAGGTCGTCTTGATCTCGCCTGGTCTGATAACGGGTATTTAAGCTTTTTCTAACTCATTGTCCACGGGCAGACCTTGGACCGGAGCGACATGTAACATGTCTGTTTTCAATGCTGCACCCTTTGCAAGAAGTAAACCTGGGCTGAAAAGATCTTCTCGCATTCTTGTGTGGCTTAATTGATTAATGAGTTGATGGTATGATAATTAAATTATCCAAAAGTGAACTTACTAAGTTAGAACATTCAATAAATCAATAATCTTTTAGATTTTAGTGTTAAGTTCCAAAATACTGATCAATTGTTTGTGAATAGGTTTTGAAAATACTAGCAAGAAAACAATGGGCACATAACCTCATGAAATAGAAAACTACTGTATTTTCCAGGGAAGTAAAAAGGAGGAACGCTGCTCGTTTCTTTGAAATTTAACAAGAAAAGCACCTAAACAATTATCTGGTTGTTCGAACTTATAGCAAAGGTGTGTCTCAGTGTAACATTTGCTTAATAAATGCACTTTAATAGTCAAATTAGCTGCATTTCACCGAGGAGGTGCAGCTGGTTTGACGGTCGGTCAAAGCAGCGAGCAGAACGAAGGTAGGGGGATTAAGGCAAGCCGATTGTATCAATAATAGCTGGTGAAGATTCTCAGTCACCCAGGACATGGTAAATTTAAAAGAACCAAAAAAAGTCCATGCTCAATAATCCAGGTATATAAATTTAAGAGTTCAAGAAAAAAACTATAAAGTATAATGAATAAAGTCCAGCTGTTTTTGTCTTGAACTTTTTTGAATTTGTCATTATAGCCAACTGTACCTATTACATGATACAACGGCACACCATACTGTTACTACTACTCTGCTACCATCAAGTGGCTGAAAGTGGTACTGCTCTTTTTTCTTCCAGGCAGAATGAATGAAAATGGTCATATCTCTGCCAAAAATTGGATTATAACAGAAAATATGGTAATAATATTTTTGTGAAAACTAATATTTTGCCCCATTATTTGACAACTGTTCTAGGCTTTATTTGTGTACAGTGTAATTTAGTGGTCAGCAATATAAACCTTAAAACAGTATAAAGTAAAAAAAAAAAAGAAGCTAGATTTGAATGAAAATATTGTTCTACCTAATATCATCTGCTTAACATTTCTGTCAAAAGAGGCTAAATTTTTCTCAGCTCGAGGAAATAACAATTCCCATAATTTTGCACTAGAAGTTTTGATAATAATAATTATCATGAGAAAAGACAAAGACAAAATGAACATCTCCACTTCCCATTTCCACATTAAGTACTGATTTGTGCACAAAACTGCTTTGACAGTTAAAATGGGACTTGGTGTTGTATTAGCCTTAATAAAAAGGCTGCAGCAGTAGGAAGGTGGTTAAGAAATTCCTGCTATCTGTATTTGTTTTTTCCACAGGTAGATTTAAAAGCAAGTAAAAGATTGAGTAATAAACATTTGAAGCTTGTGACCCCAGTGATGGTTTCTATGGCTGAAAAAAAAAAAAAATTTCAAACACGCCTTACCTTTCTGCTCCTTGGACAGTTGCTCGGCCTGGTCCCAGATCTCGGTGGCATACAGGAAGTTGGAGGTGACCTGGACGTAGCTGGCAGCCATCTGGTGGATACGCTGCGGTATGGTCACCGATGAGCTGGCACTGCTGCTGCTGCTGACAGACGAGTAACCTACTGCTGTGCCTGGTGATAGTTTGGGCGACACTGGAGACGGCATACTGGCTGCCTTACTGTGGATGGAAACAGGGACAATTACACAAAAACGTTAGTTTGATAAATTAGTGTGATAGTCCTGGATTAGTATGTAAAATATTAATAATACCAACAACAAGCAAGCGGGGTCTAAAACACTTAAACTTTGGGAATATTGATTTTTTAAAATCAAATTCAGAAAAAGATGCCACCTAAACACCAAAACTTAACTCTCCAAACATCAAAGGAACACATGACTTACTTTCCCATTCCAGGAGAGGGAGCCTGGGTGTTACTTAGAGAATTCTGACAAATGAGGAAAAGAACATAATGTTCACAGGAAGTTGCACATTTACAGATCATAACTGCATTCATGGAAGTGTACTGCATTAGAAATGCGTCCAGGAAAATAAATGCTTTTTGGAAACGGTCGTACCTTCAGGTGCTCTGTGAGTGTTTTTGAGTATTTTAGTGCACTGTCTTTTCTCAGCTTGAACAACCGCAAGTAGAGGAGAGACTGGCATCGGAGGCTGGGAAAAGAAAGGCACAATTACTTTTCCATAATACTCAAAAGAAGACACCATGACCAGATATGGTAAATGATAAATGGACTGTATTTATATAGCACCTTTTAATATTATCAAGATAAAAGGTGCTTTACACTATAATCTGTGCTCTCACCCGTTCATACAGCACTCTACTAGATCTATACATAGAATAATCAGTGCTTTATCACATTTATACACCAATGGGACACACACTGAAGGCAATGAGGGGTTCAGTGTCTTGCCCAAGGACACTTCAACATGTGACTGCTGGTGGAATCGAACCCCCAACTTTCGCATCGGAGGACAACGGCTCTAACCGTTCAGCCACAGCTGCCCCATATATGTGACGACAACTTGTTTTCATAGATTTTAAAAACAAATGGTATGAAATAGCAACAACCATCTATGAGTATTTTTGTGGATTCGAGACAAAACAACACTTTTACGAAACGTAACAGAGCACCCTCACATGCTGTCGGTCTTATACTCACCAAAGCACAGCTAGCCTCTTGTCTGCTGTAGTAGCATCTGGGGCCATGTAACTTTTTAACTTCATAGTGTATCTGAGTGGAGAAGCAATGTACAGTTTAATACACACATTTTCATTTATTCTAATATAAAAGTTCATGAACCGCTTTCCTGGTAGGACTCCCACTAAGTTTAGTGCATCAATTCAGTGCAGTAGAAACAGAAACACAATTTTTTGTACCCTGTCAAAGCTGGTGCTTACTTTACCCAGAGTGGGGTCCCATTTGAATTTTGATTTCTGAGACAATGATGCATAAGATTGCTCTTACTTGATGAGCTCCACTGTTTCGGCATACATTGGGAAAGGTGATTTGGCTTCCTGGGCACTCTTCTCCAGAGCATTGCCACACTCAATGAAGGAAACAACAGCGTCAAGGTAGAAAACTGCCTTCACAAAACGGTTTACCTGCAAAATAAAGTGAACAATAAAAAAAAAAGGAATCTGTTGTATCTAAAGTTAGTGACCATATTCTGGTCAAACAGTTCACATCTTTGAGAAAATGCAGCTGTAAATATGGTTCACATAACAAAAATGGCAACAAGAAATAACAACAAGGTGGGACATAAGATAACTAGCCCAGATTGTCAACAACTTGCTGTAAATTACATTAACTTTTACTTTCCTATTAAAGACTTGCAGCAACATTTTGATTGAGCCTTGAAGGCAACAACACCTGAAGTCAGTGGTGGAATTTCAACACTGAAAATCTACTTGATAAAACTTCAGATAAAAGTAACTTTATGCATCAATCTGGATTTTTAACTAAATTTTCGAAGCCACAACTGTTACATAGAGCTGAGTACCGAACTTCGGTTCTTTCATGGTACAGACCGAACAGCTTTGGTCGGTATATGTATCAAAATATGCTTCATCTTTGTGTAAAGTTTCGGTGATTGGCTGTAACATTACAGCCAATGCTAGTGCTGCAACTTGCAGCCACCAGGAAAAATATACGTGGTTATGCCCATAGACGCGGTTCACGTGTAGTTATAGCAAACCTTAATATCCATTAATAGCCACAAATAGCCAATTGTGGTTATTAATGGATATAATGGCTTACCATAATATCTGTGTTGTGAACTAAGTTGCGTGTGTCGGCAACACGACTAATTTGATGATTTGCCTGACTGTGCACAGAACCAATTTAAGAGCGCAAAGTTGCTCCGTGTATGACTGTAAGAAGAGAGGACCGCAGCCTCCTCCCCTCAGCATTTAAGTCGGCCTGTGGGTGTTACAGAGCCTGAACGGCCTGATTCAAAATCTCCACGACAGGACTCCGCTTTGCACCGAGGACAGAGCTGTGTCTGGGATTTCAGCTGGTAAGTTTGCGTTTGTTAACGTTACTGCAACTTAATACGTGCATCGCGGTGAGTTAAACTAGGATCCATGTAACACTAACTTTAAGATATTAGTGTGTAGCTTTATTTTATGGCTATCTATGTAGCTAGTTAAAATCAAAAGCTAACTTAATGATGGCAGTAACATAAAGCTTAGCTTGCAAAAATGTGCTCATCCATGGTCAGCTGGTTAAACAGTTCACCTAATGTTCACTGTTTGTGTTCTCTTCACAGGAGCCTCTGACCCTGATGTGAGGACTGAGGACGACAGACAAAAGAAAAGTGAGCTTGGGGCCACAGGACATTCACAAACTTTGTTGTTAAAAGTTTGCTGCCTTTTTCTACAGTGGAGGCTGCATGGTGGAGGTAAGTAAACTGTAAAGGATATTGTTGAGGTAAGTAAACTGTAAAGGATATTGTTGACCAGTTAAGCTTTTATCTCTCAGCCTTGATTATGGTTTTTGAGCAATAATAATACAACCATGTTATTGTTGATGTTTTGTGTTCTAATGTTAATTAGGGAGATGATAAGAGCCCTAAACCCCAGAGAACTACAGATAAGATTCAAGAAGAGATACAGAAGTCTGCCATCAACCCTAAATTCAGTGAATCCAGTGACCTGGTGGTGGGATGTGAGGGACACTATGTCAGTGCTATCAAACTTTGCAACCAAGTATCTGTGTGTGCAACAAGCATCATCCACACCCTGAGTGAACACTAGCTATGTTTACATGGACATAAGCAATTGGGTTAAACAGCCGTTCGGAATAAAAATGTGTCATGTAAATGGCCCATTCAGGTTATTTTTTGTTAATTCAGCGCGATCTGAAAGAATTTGTGATCTGATCGAAACAGGTGGTTTACGTCAATTCATAACCCAAATGGTGTCCATGTCAACAATTAATCTGTTCATTTTTTCCGATCGTGAAAAACTGACCTGACTGCACATGTGCGAGCTATATCACTTCTGCCTGGCTAATGCTAATAATATTTGCGTGTCGGGGAAGCAAAACTGGTCGGTGAGCGACACAACATTTCTACTAGAAACTTTGAAAGAGCTCAAAATGATCTTTATTTCTTATTATCTTTCATTCGAAGGACTTCATCTGTCCGAAGAGCCACAAACAAATTCAGCCTCACAGGCAACACACTCACATAGCGGACCAACCAGTTTGCTGGTGATAAGATGGTTTCTGGGGCCCGCCCTCTCCCCCGTCGACTCCTCTGAGGCAGCTATAGCCCAAGTATTCAAAACATCAAAGTTGAGTTTGTTATGGCTCCTTGCACTGACGAAGTCCTTTGGATGAAGGATGAACCATCTCGACAACAAAAAAACAAGAAACCATCCAGATGAGCTGACCAAACTTTGTTGGATTTTTTTCACCTGGATTATTGAGCATGAACTTTGATGTTTTGAACCACTTTGACTATGGCTGCCTCAGAGGAGTCAACAGGGGAGAGGGTGGGCCCCAGAAACCATCTTATCACCAGCAAACTGGTTGGTCCACAATGTGTGTGCTGCTAGCGGAACCGAGTTTGTTTGTGGCTCCTCGGACTGATGAAGTCCTTTGGATAAAGGATGAAATATCTCAACAAAAAAAAGAAACTGTCCAGATGACCTGACTGAACTTTGTTGGATCAAGAAAATTAACTGTTAAAAAAGTCCTTCTTTTTTGTCAAACTTGTTTGCTAGTGTTTTACTTTGTATGTAACAATTTACCTCAAAACACTTTTAATTAGCTGCACTTACCAGTGCGTCTGCATTGTGCTTGAGTTTCTTGGCTTCTTGTAAGTAGTGATCAGCTGAGTAAACTCTGAAACAAAATAATTGGCAGATCAAATCAGATTAATGACTTCTCTAAATCGCAGTAAAAAGCATGACCGTTTAGCAAACGCGCCGCACATTCCAAAAATGCGTAACGTCTCAATGTACTATTATTTTATATCGCTTTCATTTTTTCTAAACTCATAAAGACTCATTCAACCGTTAAATCAAATTCTGAAACAAGAGACACAAAAATCTTAAGGAGCTCTGTGTCGTTTCTTTACAACAGCATGAAAAAGGACACGGAGTCCTGGCAGTGAGTCTTTGAAAATGGAAATTTACATAATCTTTCTGGCATGCGGCCACTTCTATTCACGACCTCCCCAACCTCCCATAGCTTCATGCATCAAAGAGCCCCACAAGAGCTCTTTCAGAGCCCTGCTGAGAGGTTATCCACAGTGGAAAGAGCTCCTCTTACCTGTCTTCAAAAACCAGCTTGGATCTCTGGGACTTGGAGTCGTCCGTGGAGAGAGGAGGCACAGCCAGCTGGTTAACTGATAATTTTTCCTGCAGAGACAGCGAGGGAAAAAGTTTAAATTAAAAGGGGAAAAAACTAATTTTTTTATTTGAATAATAAAATGGAGGGAAAGGTGAAAATAAAGTTAAGAGACTGTATTGTATTCTCCAAGTATTAGGCCTATAAATAGTACAAGCTGGTTGTTGTAAAAAAAAAAAGCATTAATATTTGATGTGTGCCTATAAAAATGCTAAAAAGAAATATGCATGCCCTGAAATTCATTCATTCATTCAACCTTTATTTGACTATGGTGACATTATTTACATGAACGCTCCTACAAGCACCCTGCAGATGTTGGATGCTGTCTATCACGGTGCATTAAGATTCATAACTGGCTGTAACTACCGTACCCACCACTGTATAATCCTACTTCGCTCCTGTTTCCTGGAATATCTTGCAAAAAGATCTGAAACTCTCGACTTTGAAGCCACTTAAAGAGGTTAAACATCTGCTACAAACCGGATTCCAAAAAAGTTGGGACACTAAACAAATTGTGAATAAAAACTGAATGCAATGATGGGGAGGTGCCAACATGTAATATTTTATTCAGAGTAGAACACAAATCACAGATCAAAAGTTTAAACTGAGAGAATGTATCATTTTAAGGTAAAAATCTGTTGTTTCCAAATTTCATGGCATCAACAAATCCCAAAAAAGTTGGGACAAGTCCATTTTTACCAGTGTGTGGCATCCCCCCTTCTTCTTACAACACTCAACAGACGTCTGGGGACAGAGGAGACCAGTTTCTCAAGTTTAGAAATAGGAATGCTCTCCCATTCATGTCTAATACAGGCCTCTAACTGTTCAATCGTCTTGGGCCTTCTTTGTTGCACCTTCCTCTTTATGATGTGCCAAATGTTCTCTATAGGTGAAAGATCTGGACTGCAGGCTGGCCATTTCAGTACCCGGATCCTTCTCCTACGTAGCCATGATGTTGTGATTGCTGCAGAATGTGGTCTGGCATTATCGTGTTGAAAAATGCAGGGTCTTCCCTGAAAGAGATGACGTCTAGATGGGAGCATATGTTGTTCTAGAACCTGAACATAGTTCTCTGCATTAATGGTGCCTTTCCAGACATGCAAGCTGCCCATGCCACAAGTGCTCATGCAACCCCATACCATCAGTGATGCAGGCTTCTGAACAGAGCATTGATAACAAATTGGACTATCCTTGTCCTCTCTGGTCCGGATGACATGGCGACCCAGTGTTCCATAAAGAACTTCAAATCGTGACTCATCTGACCACAGAACAGTCTTCCATTTTGCCACACTCCATTTTAAATGACCCCTGGACCAGTGCAAATGTCTGAGCTTGTGGAGCTTGCTTAGAAATGGCTTCCTCTTTGCACTGTAGAGTTTCAGCTGGCAACGGTGGATGGCACGGTGGATTGTGTTCACTGACAATGCTTTCTGGAAGTATTCCTGAGCCCATTCTGTTATTTCCTTGACAGTGGCATTCCTGTTTGAGGTGCAGTGACGTTTAAGGGCCCGGAAATCACGAGCATCCAGTAGAGTTTTACGGCCTTGACACTTACGCACAGCAATTGTTCCAGATTCTCTGAATCTTTTGATGATGTTATGCACGGTTGATGATGATAACTTAAAAGTCTTTGCTATTTTACGCTGGGTAACATCATTCTGGTATTGCTGCACTATCTTTCTGCACAACAATGGTGGAATTGGTGATCCTCTTACCATTTTGGCTTCTGAGAGACACCGGCACTCTGAGAAGCTCTTTTTATACCCAATCATGTTGTCAATTGACCTAGTTAGTGTTAATTGGTCTTCCAGCTGTTCGTTATATGCTCAATTTCCTTTTTCCAGCCCCTTATTGCTACTTGTCCCAACTTTTTTGGGATTTGTTGACACTGTGAAATTTTGAATCAACATATTATTCCTTTAAAATGTTACATTTACTCAGATTAAACTTTTGATCTGTCATCTATGTTATATTACGAATAAAATATTGACATTTGCCATCTCCACATCATTGCATTCAGTTTTTATTCACAATTTGTTTAGTGTCCCAACTTTTTTGGAATCCGGTTTGTAAATTCATGGGAAAAACCAATGCACACGTGTTCCTGTTTTTAGTTTTCTACAACGCCTTATAATCTAGATGTTTTTTTTTTCTTTTGCTACTTTTCTTTTTGACTGTCCTTTTGGTTGCTTGGATTTGATTTGTAAAAAAAATAAATAAATCTGTATGCCTCTTTTATGACTGTCTATTGTTGTCGTTGTTGTCCACTATTGTCATCACTTTGTTAAGAAATTAGGTCTCTCTTGTAAATGAGTTCCAGAGGCTCAATGGGATTAACCTGTCTAAATAAAGGTTGAATGAAAATTTTACAGGTTAATCCCATTGAGCCTAACAAAGAGTGATGACAACAGTGGACAACAAAAGCCCTATTCGCACAAGATTAGTTTTACCTAGGG